TGTGTAATCAATAACAAGGCTGCCACGCACGCCCTTTGTACCTGCCGTGAGCCAGAACACAAAGTCTTGCTTTCTCTAACAGTGCCAGACATCACCATTTCCTAGAATAAATTATCCAGGGAAATCGGGTTTCGTTGTACAAACAAACCAGGCCTTCAGTTACACTGTAACCGAGAGACTGAAAAACGAATGGGGGGAGAGGGAAATCATCTGACAGGAAATCACTAAGCAGCTTCAGCAAGCTAAGAAAAGAAAAGCAGAGTTTTGAAAATAAATAAATTTTCATTAAAATATTATCTGATATATTATTTTGTTATTAAAAAACCCAGCAGGATACATAACAATCTATGGAGATTTCTCTGCTTATTTGTTTATAGATGAACATTCCCTTGATCAGACAGGCTCCGATTACAAGGGATGTTAGTTTTTTAGTTGATTCCTCAAGGTAGATATTAATAATGAAGTTAAAAGGATCCCTCCTGTTTAAAGATATAGAAATACACAAAAAATATAGTTCTCCTTTTCTCCTGCTACCAAGATACATGCTGACTTTTCATTAAAAATGCCACAGCCGTCAACCTCTACTGAGATAAAGCAATGAATCTCATCATAAGGAAATGAAAATTTTTTAAAAATATAAGATTTTGAACAAATAAAACTTTAATAATGTTTTTCTATTTACTTCTCAGTATAGGCTGGCTATCCTGTATAGCAGACTTTCTTTCTTCTCCCAAGAAGTGACCTTAACAACAAGGGCTCGAAATTAATTTTTAAATGAAAGTTGAGTATAATGAAAAAGCCTGAGTCCAGAAGCTGGGGATTTATGTAAAACATACAAGACAAAGTCTTGTCACAGAACAGTAATTGTTATCAAGACTACAGAATTATAAAAAGAACTGTCATTTTCCACTGTTTCAAGGCAGACTTTCCTAGTTTTAGTGTACATTCCTTTGTTCAGTCAGGAAGATCCATTCTACAAAAGCTCCATTATTTTCTGATAGGCTAAAAGGAACAACTTTTAGTTTAAAATTTAGAAGATAAGACTTCATCTAACAGTACATTATTTAACATAATGAAATCCACAGGAAGAAAAGCAAGCTTCTTGAGGCTTTATCACACTACAGTAGACTTCAGAGATGCTGATTACAAGTTTGTGTTTGTACAAAAACAACACATTAATTACCTGGAGAGGCTTGAAGTGAGCAGGAAGATTGTGAGAGTGGATTATCAAGTCCTTAGTGTTGACAACACTTGGAGCTAGACCTTTTAAGTACTTGGGCACCTACTATGTAGGTATGTGCTGTGTGAGGCATTTAGTGAGTGTTGAAAGATTGACTTGGTGACAATATTAATTTTTGAGTGCTTTTATTCCTTTAAAAATCACCTGTCACTTTGAGTTTTTTACATGCAGTTTGAACTTCGGTATAACATCTATGAGAAATCCCAGGAAACTGCCACCCAGATTGTGATCTCCTTCTTGATGTTATAATCCATAGCAGAAAGACATGTCATGAAAAAAGATCCAAACCACAAACATCATTTATGATATGTACATATAATATGTATGTGCCACTCTGATTTAGCCATTTCCTGCAAGTGTTTTTCTATGTGGTATATGTTGATGAGAGCACCTTAGCAAAAGCAATTTGTGAAGTACACTGCTCACAGAATTTACAAGAGGCACACGCCTTCAATAGAACTTAAATATATGCTTAGATTATGTATGTGCTTAAATGTATGGATTACTTGAGTCTATAACCAAAAGTTTTATGTTAAATTAAGTTTTGTCTTTTAATGAGAAATAGCACCCATGAAACAGCAGACTAGAGCCTAAAAAAAACCCTATCTCCCTTTTATTAAGGATCATCTAATGAATTTTATGCATGAAATCCTCTGTAGACACACCTGAAACTGCAATATCCAGTGGTCAAAACGAAATATCTTTGAGGAAGAAATAAAATCCTATTTAGTTCTGCCCATTTAAAAAGGGCAGTCAGTAGAACAGGGATTATATGGGAAAAGTTAAGCTAAAATATATTATTTTTCAGCCTCAATGACAATTTGTTGGTTTAGAACTAGCTAAGATATTTGCATTAGGCTGTTTGGATTGAGATCATAATTTCTATTCTGCATGTGACAATACACCCTGCTATAGGTCACGCAGGAGAGCGGATTTTAATCATTGCTGTTTATATCAAACAAAGGGCACTTATTCTGATCTAATTTTTTTTGAGAATTGGATGTTGCTATCGTTGTTGCTGGGATATTTCATTTCAAGTGATGTACTTGATTATCAGTCTCTATGTTTTGCTAGTGCCTGTGAGCGAGTCTCTGGTAGGGCTTATAAAAAACCCATTGCTTTCTGAAAAGGTCCTACAAAAGATCCATTTCTCATACACAGCACGAGAGACTACTTAGAAGTCATCTATTTAAGAGCTGTGGAAAATAGTCAGCAACGCAAAGACGTCAGTGTCACGGAAACAAGGCAAATAGGGGAACAGGGACACCAACACATTGCTTATATAGGAAGGCTTTGATGCCACCAGACATTTGGAGGAAGGAGGTAACACTGCATTCCTGTACTGCAAATCCTTTGGGCAGTGGGCTGTTAAGAACTGCTGTGGCACTTCGTAAATTAGTAATAACACCCAGGGCTACAGAAGTACACGAGGGAAGGTACAGTTCAGCACCTCATTTTGAAAAGTTTTGAAGCTCACGTGTAACTTCATGTGTATTAAAGGCGATGGGACTAACCACTACTACAGCACCAGGTGGGAGCATAAATACATTGTTCAAGCAGATGCCATCCAGAATTATTTTGGTTTACGTAGAATTATGTAGCTGCCAAAACAGCTTAATGTCATCTTACTTTCCTCACACAGAACTCGACACACCTGAGCTTTTTCAGGCCTGAAACACACTTAAGACTCATTATCAGCAGCCACCTGGCTACAGCGGTAGGCGCCTTGTTCACTTTACCTTTTTCAGTTGCAACTTCCCATTAAAAGCCAAATATTACAGCTATCACCTCCTTAAAACCTGTATAGGAGCCAAGGAAAGCGCCCCACAAATATAATTATTATTTAAGTCAATGTGCTTAGTACCCAAAACTAATTTGAGGGAATCGATCTTTACACCTCTACTGATTTCCCTGCACCGCCAGGGCGGAGCCGCCCCACACCGCGGTGCCCTCACACCGGCCCGCACCGTTAAGAGGACGCCTGCCTGAAGCGGCTCCGCCCCGGTGGCGGGAGGAAGCGGGAGGCCCCGGCCCGGGAGAGGGGGGGTTTCGGCGGGGGGTC